TTGGGGGGGGGCAGTTGTCTGTTAAAACAAATTGTGGTTTTGTTTTTGTTTTTTGTTTTTTGTTCTTATTACATGTATTTCCTTGTTTTCGTTCTTGTTGGATTTTTTAAAATTTGTCTCGGAGATGCATATCATGTTTTGTTTGTTTGGTTTTTTTTCATTTTTGTCCCGGACATGCTCTGGTGTGGTTTGTCTTGCAACACCTCTACTCTTCGGCACTTATATGACCGTATTGTGTTGCAAGTGCCGTAAAACTCTTACTAAAATAAATAGGACGGGCACTGCTGTTTTAGTCTGGGAAACACACATCATGTTTTGTATGGAGTTTTTTTGGGGGGGTTTTTGGGGGCCTATCTTGGTAGCTTATTCCCATTTCTAGATAACTGCAACATGACTTAATCAATTATTCATACGGAGAAAAAAGAATGTGCTGTTTTGCTATTTTGTATGGGGTTTTTTTGTTTTTTGTTTTTGTTTTCTTTGTTTGTTTGTTTTTTTGGGGGAGGGGGTTCTGTGTGGTTGTTGTTGTTGTTTTTTTTGGGGGGGGTTGTTTTTGTTGCTTTGGGTTGTTTGGGTTTGTTTTGTTTTTGTTTTTTTGGGGGGGGGCTTTGGTTTGATTTATGGACTGTGAAATCCATCTCCTCCAACATCAATTCCAAAATGGTATGGAAGCAATATAACACACAAGAACTTCATGTAATTTTGATCTATTGTGGCTTGATTTGATTTTACTACATTTTTAAAAGAGAACACAGAACAAACACTTATTTTTTTACATTGGCAGTTACGGAAACTCTTGCATAAGAAAGATAAAGATCTGACATTGCAAAGTTTAACATGGAAGACTGAAAGCTTGCTATGAGTTGAGAACATCCAAAAGTAAGGAGAATTAAAACAGTTTATAATGGTTGACAAGTGGTACTTCTTTACCACGAAACAAAAGTTTAACCGTTCCACTACAAACAACAGATTTAAGCAATAGTTACACCAAACCACAATTGCATACAACAGAGGGGGTCAAAATCTCATTTTGTCTACTTCTAAAGCAATCAATGTTTTTTAAAATCACACTATTGGCACTGCGATAGACCTTGGAGTAATTTCTATGATCAAACATTATTTTTGTTGAACAGTTTTACATTGGACCTCAACTGCTGAAAAGGGGAGATTAATCTTTACAGAAAAACAGCAAAAACAAAACTTTCTCTATTGAAGAAAAAGAATTTCCCTTTATACAACAATACAATAATATAAAAAATATGGTTCTCTTTTTATTTAGTAAAAGCGGCATACTATTACATAAGTCATAAGTTGGTGCATTTTGAGTTGATTATCCCTAATGGCCAGGGAAAAGTTGTGAACTGAAAGATTATATTTTTAAAAATTAAAAGATTTTTTTTCAGTTTTAGTAAGTGTTTTACGGCACTTGCAACACAATAAGGTCATATAAATGCCGAAGATTAGAGTTGTTACAAGAGAGTAACAAACACAAAAAAAGAAGGAGGGGAGATAAAGATGATAGTCGTTTGATAGGAAAGAAGAAGCAAACCACACCAGAGCACCCGTGAACCACCCATTTTAAAAGATTGCTGTCAACAAGACCAACCACGAGACAAAAATACCAGGCAAAGGATTTACTTCAGAATCTTTTTTTTTTTTAAATAGTAGAGGGTTTTATGGCGCTCCCAACTGCATAAGGTCATATGAGCGCCAAGGGGTGGGTGTCAACAGAGAAGTCTTTACAGGGAATCAGACTTAGACTGCTCGCCTCTCTAGCTTCAATAGCACAAGGTCTGTTTCGACTATCAAGGCACCCCGGAAATAGCAGGTCACAAGAGAGTGACAAACATACAAAAGAAGTCGAGGAAAATGACAATAGTAAGGATCAAGAAAGAAAAGCAGCAGTTCCCTGTTGTAGATCAGGCACAGTTATGAGCGTGACATGAGTCAGCCCATTTACAATTCTACTACGCTTGAACGAGAAATGTCCCCCCTTTGGGAATGGCCTAAAGACACTTCAGTCAGTGGCACTGCCCCCCGGGGGTTACTTCAGAATCTATCGTAGTACCAAGTATGTCATACTGAAAAAGAAAAAGTACAACTTCAACAACTCATCTTCTCTTTAGATATAATAGTAGAAAGAGATGTAGTAACAGGTGAAGGCTAAAATTAGTATAGAGTTAATCTGAATAACTTTGTTCACAGAAAGTAAAGAGAAAGGCTCACAGGAAAAGACATCTTCTTTAAAAAAAATACACCAAAAAAAAAAAAGGGCACATTACAGTAGGCCAAATGCCAAAAGACTTTACAAATTCCAACAAATGTAAGATTTTAGGCCATGTAGCTGGAAATATTGCCAGGGTTCCTTTCCGAGTCCAGGTTCGTTCTTGCTCAACATGTGCGCATATGTATAAATTACTTAATTCTGACAGATTTCATCAGCCATGATTGCAGTAGTTTAACATTTCAACACAATTTCAGTCATTAATGAGGGATATGTGCACAGCTCCAAGCGTATCTGGGTTGTGCGGGAGACATGGAAGCCTGAGATGCAAGTTAAAAATATCTTCCCTACATGAATAGCGTACACATCTTTCAAGTGCATAGCAAAGAACCCAGACATTACACCACAGACGTTGGTTTCGCTCGGCAAAACTTAAAAGTCACCTTTGTGCAAATTGGTACAGTGACATTAATTGCTGATTATTTAACCTATACTTCTTTCAAGCTACCCCTTACCCCGAATTCCGGTGGTCATGTCTAGATGGAAAGCTTTCAGGGGGTTAGTTGGAGGAATTCAAGAAGTTTGACAACTTTTGTGTTAAATCAGTTGTTTTGAATAATCAAACATGCCCTCTCATAACTGTGAAATCTTATTGCAAATCACGATGACCATGAAGAAGTAGATTTCTTGTACTTTTGCAAATATGCAGCCAGTAAAATAGAGCATGACAAAGGCATGGTGAATAACAGCTTTGACAGAAACTTTTCAGAGGAGAAAAATTTCCAGAGCAAATTCCTTGATGACATTCAGCAGTCACCTCATCATACTGAAATACATTTGACTGTAAAGAATCATCGTCAAAGTTTGCTATTCATTCCTCTACTCAGATGTCCTCAAAAACACTATATCATAATGATCTTTCCTCATCACCCATCTGTTTAGGCTTTCTAAATAAGTTACAGTAAAGAATCGCACTGGAATTTTCTTGTATTTTCCAAAAGTTACAGCTGATATTGAGAAACTGTATCAGATCCTGAATTCTTTACAGTACATCCACTGAGATTTGGATGTAGTAATGTAATTCTGAAGCTTCAGAAAAAAAAGACATTACATGTCAGAAAAGCAGATTTTAGTAATGTTTTGTTCAGCTCTTCAAAAACACAGGGAACAACTTGAAACATTATCAGCAACACAGATGTGCGCCTTTAACTTTAAAAAGTTACTGAATTCTTCAAAAACATACAAGGAAAAGGAATACACACAAGCCATCCTTCGCACTGATATCAATGGTTGAAAGCTTTTGCCATGCAACAATGTAAATACCACTGGTTAATTTTTTAAGTGTCTTCGAAGGCCATTCTAAGCAAAGACGAATCTGGAACTTTTGATTGGGTCTTACTTGAATACTTCTGTTTTTTTGTGTTGTTTTGGGATTATTTTTTTTTAAATTATAAATTTTAAAAGAAAATTTTACCTTTCTCAAACTCGATCAAGCAAAACTAAAAAGTCTTTCAGCATGAGACATGCCAGAAAGTAAAGAAAAAGCCTTACAAAGGGACTGTTACCAAAAACATGTGTTTAATCATGCACAAACACTTATCACTATTCAAGTGTCATGATGCAGACAGGGTGCAAGAAGCAATAATCACCTTAAGGTAAAATGGCCTTTCTACTCCTCGTCTTTGCTTAGGCTTGTCGAAAGTGACACGAAAACATGAAGACACTAAGCAAACGGAAACAGGAACATAATAAAGGGCCGAAACCTCCTTCAAAAAGAATGTATTTTTGAAAATGGACATCAGCAGACTAATCACAAGTTTACAGTACCCTGAAAACTGCCGCAGCTCAGAACAAAACAAAAATCTACCAAGCCGTAAAATTCAAATCACGGTAACAAATCTAGCATCCAGCCACACGGCACCAGCTCGAGGATGGAGAGATCAACAAAAACAAACAATGACTTCCACCAAAATTCACATGGTGAAGAACTGGAGAGGGAACATTCAGTTTTCAAGGGAGCTCCTGGCTTCTACAAACAAACTACGATAAAGGCAAACCAAATCTCCTTCTAAAGGAAAAAGTGAGAGCAGTACCAAATGCAGAAAGAGATTTTTATCTATACGAGTGCAGCACAAACACACTCTGTATGTCTGATATTCGTTCGAGTAAGAACAGCCTTCGTGGCTTTATCATGCATAAAATAAGCCATGTTCCCATAAGGATACGTCTTTCTTCCTTAAAACAAAAGAAAACCACCAGCCATTTTATAGTCTGGACACATAATCAAACCACCTTAGTTTTAGTTTTTTTTAGTTTTAGTAAAAGTTTTACGGCACTTGCAACACAATAAGGTCATATAAGTGCCGAAGATTGGAGGTGTTACAAGAGAGTAACAAACACAAAAAGAAGGAGGGGAGATAAAGACAATAGATGTCTGATAGGAAAAAAGGAGCAAACCACACCAGAGCACCCGCCAACCACCCACAAACCACCTTATGACGTGCTAAAAATGTATGAGTGGGAAGAGGAATGGGGAATATTAGAGATGGGGAAAGAGGAGAGGAGGGAAAAGGAGAGTGAAGAGGGTGCTGGGAAGAAAAATAAAAAGGCCAACAGTGGATCAAATTAGCTGAAAACAAATTAACTTCTGAGTTGCCAATACCCTAAACAGTATAATCTTTTAGCCCCCCCCCCCCACCCCTTTCAAACAATCACAACAACAACAGGTAGCAAAAAATCATAATCTTTTAACAAAATCATCAGGGGGGGGGGGGGGGGGGTGCGCAAAGACTTTGGTTTTGACGGAAAGGAAATACTACTTTATCTACCCTCCTTTCGGCAAAGAAGTTTTTCGACATCCATCTGATTTTCAACATTGTTTACTCATATATTAAGATGCAACAATTTAAAATATTTCAAGTTTCCTTGTTGAGAACAGACTATTTTCTGTTGGAGTATAACTTTTTTTTTTCAGATTTACAAAGCTTAGTAAACTCTTAACGTTGGTTCACATAAGAACCTATCACCTGTACATGATGACAAAAGATCTCAACCACTTCCGTTCTCACATACCAACGCAAACCACCCCAGAACACAATGATGAGAATGAAGACAACAGCAGGGCGCTATATGAGAATATACTGGTACAGACACCAACACAACAAGAGGAAGTGTTAATTTTGAGACGTTACGTATCCCCAGAAGAATCACTCCTACCGAAAGAAAACTATCATCATTATACTCCAGGGGGACTAAGTTAGTTTTAGTAGAGGTTTTACGGCACTCTCAACTGCGTAAGGTCATATGAGCGCCAAAGATAACAGGTGTTAAAAGAGAGTAACAAACATAAAAAAGAAGAAGGGGAGAAAAGATTGATAGACGTTTGATAGGAAAGAAGGAGCAAACCACACCAGAGCACCCGCCAACTACCCACCTGGAGGACTAAGAAGAAGTGGATGCGACACAAACGTGAAGACCTACCTGCTGAAGCTGTGCCTGCAGCACGCAGACGTGTTGTCCCAGGGCCTGGAGCTGAGACAGATGCTCTCCTCCACTGTCCGAGCCTTGGGCCAGGCACTGAAGAGACTGCGCCAGGTGACCAATGAGGTCATCCCTCTGGGCCAAGGCAGCTTCCACTTCAGAGATCTGGCATGTGAGCAGAGATATAGTGTAGCTCTTAGAATAAAAAAGGCTATTCCATATTTGCGCACAGTCAATTTTGTCATCCAATTTTTTCAGCATCACAAACTTTCAAAGAACTCAGCCCTTATTTTACCCTATTTGCATAAAATAAATACCAAACTGTGTAGACACGAATGCTCTATACAAGGGATATACAGTTTGATTACAGCTAGAATCAATTTATGGGGTTTCATTGATTTTTGTTACGATTGTAAGCGACGGAGCGGTGCACCAGTTGAACAGGCTCACAGTATGCTAAAAGCTAAGAGGGATCTTTTGTGGTTATGTTTGTTCTTTCCAATTACAAATTCATACATGTCCTTGACAATTACTCCTTTGGACCACGTTTATTCTAATTTTCTTCCTCAGTCCCTTGTGTTGTACATAAAATCTGGCAGACATAAATATTATCACTCTCATACTTTCAGCTTTACACACTGCCGAAAACATTGAAATTGCGTGAAGAGAGACAACAGGGAATTGAACCCCCAACCTAAAGATTGTAAGTCAAGCATCTCAACCTCAAAACTTCCTCATCATAAAACTTAAAAAGTACCCCCCACCCCCAAACCCCCCTTAACCCCCAGGCTCCTATAAAATCAACTTTCCTGATATGTCAACCTACCTTTGAGGGCTCCCTGTCTTCCCACACATCCTGATCAGACTGTGGATCAGCAGACAGCTGAGAATGAAAAAAAAGAAGACATTTATTTAAATACTCAGTTCTTACAGCACTGTCTGCCTCGTATGCCTTAATGGGAGGAGCGACCCTTGAGGAAAATTTTCTATTTTCGTTGCCTGAGATCAAATCTAAGTGCACATATAAGTAAGGCATAGTAAAATCTCTTGATAAGCAATTTTATATTGGCATAGCTACGGCGGTTGCAAAGGAAACGGCCGCCATCTTGAAAATAAACAACGAGCTTCAAATCCCTTAGGCTTTCTTACTTACGGACCAAATTTGGTGAGAAGATTATACCTGAATCAGACCGTATCAGTGTAACAGGGAGTTTTTTTCAATAAGTGCAAAGGAAAAGAAAATATGAGAATTTTCTCAAAGTATAAAAAACCTTTTCTAAATTTAGGTTGCGTAATCACTTGCCAATAGAGAAGTGACATTTTTTTCGCAAAAATCTCTCTGTTGCATTGATGGTAGCCTTGCCATCTATGTTCCCTGTAAGTTTCAAGTCAAAAGGATGAAAACTCAGGACGGAGTAGGAAAAAAACTGCAAAAAAATGACATTTTGCACAAAAAAACACTGTAAATATTGTGAAAATTCACTATATTAACCCATCTTCATGTTTTCAAAGGCAATTTACAAGGAGAATAAAGACTTTCTCAATTGTCTCCATGCTATTTTAAGACAAAGAACAGGTTGATCTTAAAAAATTCAGCTAACATCTCAATGTGCATAGCCTGACCCAAAATCGGCAAAATCAAGGGTCGCTCCTCCCCTTAACTGGTACGTTATTAAAGATGAACACAAGCTTATTCAAAAATTGATTCCAATTCTTACAAGATTTGTTTTAAATAAATCGGATGAAAATACAAAAGCAGAAATCTGAAAAAGTAACAATCAACGTATAAATACTACATCACTGTAGCAAACCAATATTCAATTATCAAGAAAAGCCAAGCCCGAACTGCACGCTTTCAGTATGTTGGCATGTAAATGCACAGACACTTGACAGAATATAAAAAAGCCTTGCAAATAATTTCTAGAGTACAAAATCAATATCCTGCAGCTGACCCTTGTGCTATGAAGCGAGAACAATTTTTCCAGGAGGCTAACAGCTACATTTTTTTTCTATCATGTGCTTGAGCGAGCACTTAAATGAAAATAGAATTGGAAAACTTAAAACAAGAGAGGTGATTTATCACAAGTAAAAAATTGTCAAGCCTCAGAATCAACAGTAGCCCTGTGAGATAGGCAAAGTAATGACAATACAAACATGAGCAACAACAAAGAGCCAGACTAAAAACAATCAAATGCAATCAACCAGTAAACAGATTTTTGATGAAAAGGAAATGTGCCACTTTACTGAAGTGTGGGTGCATATGAGAGCATGAGCAAATGGGGTGAAAAATTTGATTTGAGTTATGGGAAACACCTTCTCGAGTGGTAAGAAACCTAAATGATTATGCTTCACTATTGTCAGTCTTTGGTTGAATAAACCCAGTCCGTTCAACAAAGTTTTAAACTGTACCGACACTGATGCACACCTCAGCACGTGCTATCTTTATGATACCAAAAATATGGTTTGTGTGTGTTTAGTTGGATGTTTTGACATTTTCCTTCGGCGGGGTAGGGGCGTAAAAATAGGTCAGGGAAAAGCCCTTGGCCAGTGGTGGACTTTGGCCTGGTAGGAAAAGAGTTAATACTTTGGAAAGGGGTATGAACCTACACTATACTATACTACAAGTTACAAGTAATTCGATATTCTAACCAGGGTTGCTTTCTCTTCAGCCCCGCATGATTCCAAGTAAGTCAACACTGTGCCCTGTATGCCAACCTGTCACCACAGATCATTACTGCGACAAGGTAACATAATGTACTAATCAAAGGCCCCTGGGCTAGACATGAGCAATATCTACTTACAGATTTTTTTTGAGACTGCGTTTCCCTGACAAGGGCATCCAATGCCAGTTGCTTGCCCTCCACAGTTTCCTCTAGCTCCGCAATCCTTCTCCGAGCTTCCACTAGTTTTGCTTGGTAGAACACAGAGCCCCTGAACTCCTGCTCCTTGAAATATCATGTGAAATATCGTAGAGTAAAATAAACTGTAGTCAGAGCCTTTAATCATAAGATAGTAACTATAGTTTCAGGGAATAACATGAGATAATTTATCATAAAACTCTTGAAAAGTAGCTCCGTGGATAAGGCTAAGAAGAGCACAGAATTAAACTCCAAAAGTAAAAAAATCTAGAATTTTTAAAACGCTCCTTCGGGTTTTTTAATCTTATCAAAATAAAAATATTGATGGTAAAGTAGTCTAATCTATCAAAAGATTTTCAACAACAGTCATGGATTATTGTTTTAGTAAGTGTTTTACGGCACTCGCAACACAATAAAGTCATATAAGTGCCAAAGATAAGAGGAGTTACTGGAGAGTAACAAACAGAAAAAAGAAGGAGGGGAGATAGAGATGATAGATGTTTGATAGGGAAGAAGAAGCAAACCGAACTAGAGCACCCCCCAACAACCCACACAGTCATGAATTAAGCCATACTTTTAAAAACTTAAATTGGTTACAAAGACAAGAAAAAAAGTATATTTGTAGAAAAATATAGTAACGCTACTCATAACCTTCCATAAAAGTAATTTCATTAACACAAAATACTTTACAGTATAATTATAGTATGTTATTGTTATTAACAACTCATAATAAAAGTTAAAGTTAGGCAACTACATCGAAACATGTTACTTCAAACAAACATAAAATACCAACCTCTGTGGAAAACTCATCACCACTAGTGATAGAGAATTGGTCACTCTGAATTGAAATGAGAAGAAAACAAACATGCTAATAAAAACACAAACATGTGAAGGATCAAAAGCACACAGTGCAAGGGTAAAAATAAACAACATGTAAAGCTTGAAAGCAAATTTTAACAAATAGTAAGATAAAAATAAAACGAGGGAAAGGAAACACTGAATGTTTGATTTCATCAAATACCCCTTTTACTATTCCACTCTGTGTTGTCCACTTCTCGTTTTGTCTCACACCTTAATAAAAATCTGTCTAGTTGTGGAACTCAGTTTTACACTGTGACTGTCCTCAAATAAATCAAATATGAGGAAAATTGTTACACAAAAAGGCCTGTGATATATTGAAAATGTGTTCTAGTAGAAAAAATGAACACAATTAATACTATGGTCATAAGAAGCTCTAGAACAGTTAGAAGCCAATGTCATGACACACAGAAATTGACATATTTAGAGCCAGTCATATCTTGTTGCCTACTACATGGTTCCAGGTTGATAAGAACACTGTCATAAACAAGTTAAAGCATATTCTTGAGCAATTTGAATGGGTTTTTGGTTGTTGTTGTTGGGTTTTTTGCTAAATAAACCTACTGGACACAATGGGTCACATTTTGCATGGAACACTTGGGACCATAAAAGTCAAACTTATTCTTAATCTTTAGTAAACTAGTTTTATATTCGCAACTTTTTTTTAACACAATGAGGGCCACAGAGCTCAAAAAAGCCACACTGACATGAAAGAAAGAGAAGAGACAGCAGATAATTGGGAAACAAGCACAGAGCTAAAAAAACTAACATTTTACAAAGGGTAAACAGCGTGAAACTTGAAAATTAACACAAACCCACCATTTGAAAAAAAGTAATGTACTGTGGGTTTCTTTCATGAACAGTAGTTCACTAATTTTCAACTCTTTCAAGGGCACTCACTACACAGCGCGACTAGTCTACACATTATGTATAGGAGATAAAATAATTGTGCATTGAAAAAGTTAATATATAAAACATCAAATTATCCAAGAGAATATGACAGATGAAAAGACTCATGTTTTATTATCTGAATTTTAAATTTAACATTTTGAGTTACAACCTCCAAAAGAAAATTAAAAATCAAACTGTTAAGCCTGAACAGACTGGCGGCTTGTCGCAAAAATATTGGCTTTAAGTGTTTTAAATTATAACTCCATCAAAACAATTTACATTATTCTTTCAAACATGGGGTTCTTTGATCCTGTCCAACAAGGCCAGTCTGGGCTTTGAGGCATAAAGCCAGGAAAAAAGACGGAGATGGTAGTACATTGAGAGAACTGAACTCCTATTTCCTGCATGCCTGGCTATGAGCTAAACAAACCCCAAATGTAGATACAGATCGACTGATTCTCCATTATAAGTTGAAAATACAAAAGCCACCATACACTCAGCATTCATTTTTTATTCTAAGAAACTGTATATTTCTATCATTTGAACTGATGGGAGATTTTCATCATATTCAAAGAACTTAAGCAACTGCTGTATCCATCATTAGTCAGTTAATCAGAATACAAAATAAAACACTATAACTACCAGATATTAAACTAGCTGCAACACATTATTTCAGATGTTAGTCACTGCAAACAGACATAAAATTGTTAAAAATATCAATGACTAAGCAAACAAGAAGAGAAAGTTTCAATTCACATGAAACATAACACAACCTCTTTTTAAAGAACATCTTAAAAAAAAAAAGTAGGGAAAACAGCCAATGACATTTACAGTACCAGCCAAACGGAGGAGCTTGTCACAGAGAAGACAGCCACTGCAACTTATTAATACTGTTTTAGATTCTACAAAATATGGGGAGGGGGGGGGAACCGTTGTTCAAATTAAATGCAGAATTGCAACCAAAATTTATACACATAATCCAAAATTAGAATAAAACAACACTGCATGTTTAGATTAAGTGATTAAGCTGATACGTTACAGATGGAGAGACCAGGTCGACCAGATGTTGCTTTGTGTTGGAAAAGAAAAGTTACTTCGAGAATTTAAAAAAAGCCTTCATTGTACAGAGTAAAAGCAATCCAAGGATTTCTTTTCACAGTTACTGAACATATTTTTTCATAACAGTACTCTAAAACAAAGGAACAAAGGGCAAAAGGCTTCAAGATGCTACTTTATCAAGACTACTTTTCCTCCCAGCTGCTTATTTGACAATATACTCGGTATGGCTTGGCACAGAACACTCAGGACCATTAATTCACAGCAAACAAACAAAATATATCAAGAGTACAAAAATCACTCACATCTGTTTGATATGAATCGCTGGCGGTTGGGGAAGATATCAATGGAGGGGTAAGTCCACTTCCATTTTGCTGGTTCAAGTTCAGCTGCTCGCTGAAGTTCTCTTTTTCGCTTTTTTCTCCAGAATTTTTCTTTTTCTTTGCTTTCTTTTTCCTGAAGGCAGCCAACTGAAATTCATAAATAAGAAAACAATTAAACTCGTGTCAGATCAAAATAAATAAAACCCAAAAAACTGAGATATCAAAGACTGAGCTTAACTTTTTAAAAACAAATTTCATGGGTAGAAAAGGTTGCATACATTTTAGACAACAATATACAAAGAGACAATATTACAGAGATCAGTTGTAATTATCTTTCACTATCTAGCTGGCTTATCATACATTTCAACTGCTTAGTGTAGAACTCCGCTATCTATGCTGTTTTCAAAAGTGATGTATGACTGAGTCTCACAGTGAGCAGTTGGTTTGTTCCCTTTGCTTCACTGACCGGATTTACAACAACAAAAATTGAAGAAGATAAATTTGTTTTCTTTTTTCCATTTTTCCACTTATATATATATATAATATGAGCAATACCTTGTTTGAATAAGAGAAGTGCAGCAACACAAAGCAAGACAGACAGACAAGGACACCAGAGAAGGAAAGAACAGAAGTAGGGCCTATCTATGGCACCCTCCAACCACCCGAAAGGTAATTACCAGGGCCTGGCACAAGTGGCACTGACTGGGTACTGGTTTGGATGTGGGTAAGGGAGCTACAGCTGGAGGTTTACAGAAGACAGAGTATCAACTCATTTTTTAGGGGCTGATTAGGTAATGAATATCAAAATACGATTTGCACACCGGAGCAAAGAACTGGAACAACAGTATCTGCCCATAAATCCCTGAAGAGATCCCCTCGTGTACCTCTGTGCATACCCGGGGAGGCGTATCATGAGCAGAAAGGATTCACAGACCTGCCTAGAGGGAAGAGCTCTCGCAGCTGAACAACTTGACAAGTGCTATCCTAAAAAGCTATGAACGGGAGTCTACACAGATGGATTGGCTGAGGGTGCAATTTGGAATGGAGGGAAAGGAAATATACAATCAAACCTGTGTAAGACGGCCACCCATTGTCAAGGAGAAAAGTGGCCGTATAAGACAGGTGGCCGTCTTAGGCAGGACTGATCAAGATGAAGAAAACAAACCATTCCCATCTGAGTCCCCAATCGAAAGTAGCCCCATTGTTATTGTCTATGTTGTTGTTGTTGCTTTGTATTTCGTTTGTAGTTTTCATTTTGTTGCTGCTTTTGCGCAAGGGTGACAATAAAACGAAATGTATCAGACTTAGGGAAGACTGAGTGCTGGGGTAAAACAAAAACATGGGTCGCCACCACTCGGAGAACGAGGGGCGCTTCAGTAACAAGTTCATTTTGACGTCCTCTGTTACTTTTTTACAGACTGGGTAAACAGTGACCACTCATCTCACTTACAATTTGTGTGTATGAGTTCTGGGCGGGGCTTATGCGTTATGAGGGATCACACACTTCCCTCACCAGCAGCTTAAAATTGGTAGCTATTGGTCAACAGTGGGAGGGGCGTACGCAACATGTTCGGTTGGAGGGGCTACCTAACAACAACGACTGGTGATTGAATTATGACGGCTCGCCCACAACGCCGGGGGCCAAAGCACAAATTATGACAAAACGTAATGGAGTCACTAAGGTGGCCGTCTAAGACAGATGTTATTGTTTAGTGTGATAGGGGTTGTGTGTTAAATTATTGTGGCCGCGGCCGCGTTGGACAGGTGCCTGTTTTACACAATTAAATTATATAGAAAAAACGCAAGGGGGGAAATGGAAAGTGGCCGTTTGTACAGGTGGCCGTCTTATAGAGGTGGCCGTCAGGGCAGGTTTGACTGTACATTCAGTTTCCAACAGGAGAGGAAGTTAAAAAAAGACTTGCAGTCAGCCTCTTCACTACAAACTATAAAGCTGAAATAGTTGCTTGAAACTGCAGCCACTCAAATCAGATCTGACCCACACTCCTCTCGCAAGATGGTCCTCTTACAGGCTCCTTTTCTATATGACAAGCCATTAAATCAAAAAGAGACAGTGAGCTAAATGACAAAATGACCTGACAATGACCATTGCAAACCTCTGCAAAAACCACACTGTTGTGTTACTGTGAATGCCATCTCAGTGTAACTTGTTTAGAAATGAAATTGCTGATTCTTTACCAAAATAAGAAGTCTCAATCAGAGCAACCTGAAAAAAGCACAAGCCTTTCAGAGGCCAAAACCACCTTCAAAAGGGGGCTACAAGCAAAGTGAAACGAACAACACCCCACAACCAGGACAACCCCTACTACCTCCTCATCCGTCAAGAGCAGGTTGTTCTGTACAGACTTAGAACAGGGCACAGCCAACTGAAACATCACCTCCATATGAAGTTCATTTGAAATTCAGCGCAGTGTTAGAGCGGAAGTGGCATCCAAACAGGGAACCAGCTGCTGCAAGCCTGCCTAATGCTCAAGGCACTTATAAATAAATTATATTATATATATATTCAGTATTATATTGGCCCAACCCTAGTTAGAGAGATTCAAAACTCTATACGGGTCTGGAGGACCCGTGGCGAACAGCTTTCATACTAGAGACTGGGATGTATTTAAAGATCTAGATGAACAAAAAGAAGAAGAAATTAAAATACACACCGATTTTCTTTAGCCCCCAGAACCTTCTTTACGGGACCGTAAAAATGGCCACTCTGCCTTTCAGGCAACTGAATAAAATTCAAACATGTTGTAGAATCAGGTTATAAGTCTGTAAGCCTATAATCATAAGTAAGATTCAACCCTTTAATAAAGGAAGTAGCTATCCTCACCAGGGGTGAGAACAGCCTGTGTCTCGCTATTCTGACCCCCGTCAACTCAACAGGTGTGTTCTATATAATCAGGGCTGAAATATGGCATACCACAAAAAAGGTTGAAAACTAGGGGGATCCGTGGGTATGCCCCCCCCCGAATATTTTGAAAAAACGAGGCATAAATCTGGTTATTTTGGAAAGGTTTGAGGTCTTATTTGTTCCCTAATTTTAGAGAAAAATAATAATAACTACCCAAATACTGTCAAAAAGAAAAAAACCCATTACTATACATCAAATGATGAAGAACAAGCAGACAAGACTGAAAAAAAAGGCTACAGGGTTGTGATTTATGCGAGGGCCAAAGTCACCACAGATCTCCACGTAACTACGGGTACTCCATTGTCACAACTGAATACGATTCTACCAGTAATGAAGAAGAATAAAAAGTACTCGATTGAATGGTATCGACTGACACACGGATGCAACTGCAAATGTACCTCGTTTTCGTCCAGCGAGCAGTTAAAAACGTCTAAAATTATTATCGTCTTTTATTCTTACTACAATATTATTAGGAAGAGGCTAGCTGTACTTAATGACGGCTAGACTGGCAGTCTTGCCGTACTTTTATTCTTAATATGATGGCTAGACTGACCATAAAAAAATAGGCCTACTGAATTGTAAATATAAATTTTTAGTTTGCAGTACCTAAAGTATTTGTATTTGAGACGAAACCAGGTGCCTTAATGACAGTGCATGTATTTTAAACCTCCTGTTTTCTAACGTTAATAGGGCCTAAGATAAGTACGGCTAGACTGGCAGTCTAGCCGTACTTAAGTACCGCTAGACTTCTTGGCTAGCCGTACTTAAGTACGGGTAGACAGCCAGGCTAGCCATACTTAAGTACGGGTAGACAGTCAGGCTAGCCGTACTTAAGGACGACTAGCCTGTCAGGCTAGCCGTACGTAATATTAATGGCTGAATAGTAAATGAAATTTTTAGTTTGCAATGCCTAAAGTATTTGTATTTCAGACAAAAACCAAAAGGTGCCTTACTGACTTGCATGTATTTGAACCTGAATAATTACTAGATCTAGATCTAATGAGACCTGTGTACTTAACAGGTTTGAGTCGATAGGGCCAAACCTAGATCTAAGTACGGCTAGACTGGCAGTCTAGCCTTAAGTCTAAACTCTCAGTCTAGCCGCACTTGTACAGCTAGCCACTTCGATATTATTATCAAATACGAAACTCGGAAAAAAGGTGGAAGAGGCGTTCGGATGAGCGGACGGCGGTTTTGCAACGAGCGGAATTCTATTCTGCCTTTAGGCAGACAATTCTCAGCCCTGATCACGGCGCCCGAAATTCCGTCTCAGCAATCTTTTAGTTAGTCCGGCCCCCCGCGGTAGGCCATATATCAGCGGCAGGTGACCTGCAATTTCACGCGTCAAGTCGGGACTGACCGGGGTCAACCCGTGCACAGCGTTGTCCTATCTTGTCCTTATCAGAACACATTTCTTCCCCTAATTTCATGAGCCGTAAAATGATGCTCACTCTACTTCTAGAATCTATTTCTTCACCAATTTCGCTTCGTCTACTTCTTCTTGATATCCTGTGAAAGTTTCAACAGTTTTCATTAATTCGTTTGGGAATAATAACAGTTTTAAATTGTGAGTGTTAAGTGATCAGAAGCACCGTTAATAATGTGATCTCTTCAAATTTAATTACAAATCATTCGAGAATGAAACGTTGGTCTTTACTTCTGTTTGCGCTATTTTTTTCGAATGATGTGAATTTTGTTTTTCCAGCACTTTGCAGTGACTGGCAATCAGTTAGTGAATTGTGTTCCTAAGTAAAAGTTGTTAAACTGCAATGGGTCATACATGATGAGAGGCATAGAGAGTCTCTGAATGAACTTTGTCGGGTGTGTTGGCGTGTAAATTTAACTGTCAAACAAAACAAGTACAGAAAGCCCCATTTATGTAAGACAATGGCAGGATATTTTCTCTTGGTTTATGGGATTGATGTGAGGGACGAAGTTGAACAGTCCTATTCCGCTAACACTTGTGTCAAGTGTTTGACCGCGATTTCAACTATCAAAAGGAGACATGGTGTTACATCACGTCAATTCATGCCACAAAAAAGCAGTTGACACTAGTAGGAGCATGTGGTGTGCATTTGACAATAGCATAAATGTGAATTCCTTCTCCGTTTTGTCGACACCGCTTGGGTGGCTGCATACAAAGATCAATTTCAAGCAAACATCGCAAAACACCCCAAGCATACCTCCCTCCATCCCCATGTATGCAAGGAACTAACAAACACAATTTGTACAGAAACAAGAAAATACTCCGTCGAAACTGCAAAAATTGAGGAGGCAAGTGGACTGGAAGCAATATTCAATTTTCTCAATGAAAGATTTAGCAATGTTCACACTGCAATATCACATCTCAAACCAGTCAAACGATTTTCACTTCCAGAAATCTTCGTAGCAATCGACAATTACATGTCCGCATTCAGACGCTATTTCCCCGCAAAGTTATCTTAAAGCCACACATATCATATCAACACTGTGTTCCACACATACAACAAAACATGTTTGCTCTCTGGCTTTTAGGAGAATAGGACACAGAAAGCAGCTACCAAGCGATCTCAAAACTGGAATCCAGAGCACGAAAGATTTCAAACCAGATAGACATATAATGCGTTTTATTTTTGTGTTGCATCTCCTGCAAATAGCTCCCTCACTGTGTGCTGCTAGATATGTTTAGAAAGAAAAATTGTATAAATTTATACTTTTATTCTGTACATGTTCATTTTGTGAAAAGAAATCAGTGCTGTATATTATTATTCAGGAGGATACACATTCCATTGGATACAAAAAGTCATGAACGCTGGGAAGCGTTTTGTCTATCATGCTCATGACAAGTTCCATGTTCGTGCTGGAAACAAAATTTTGAGTGAGTCAATTTCTAAACACATTTTCCTGTCTTACGTGGCAGTTTTGTAAATATTTATTGTTAGGCTTATATAAGTTATTAGCCATTCAATATGTGTTTGTTGTTTTGACTAACTATAAATAGACATACATTTTAAGAGCATCTAACTCCAAAACGTGAGCAGCCATGGTATTGCTATTTCGTACCAATAAAGAGGTTAAGTTGCTTTCTCTAAAGAACAAACTTGTGTTCACGTATGATATTTTTTGTTTGTGTAAGACGATAAAACATGTGTTGAAAGATTCATTTCACTGGCTACCGACGCAGGTAGCGGGAGGGCGGGTTAGTGACCTCTGGGTGACCGGCCCGCCGTGACCCGGTCACTCCATCGCCGATCCAACTAAAAGAGCGCTGTTTGTAAGTCGTGTGATATAATACAGCAGACCTTTTGCACACACACACACAGAAGAGAATAAGTTGTGCAGGCCTAGATAAGTTTCAGGTTAAGTTTATTAAATGGCTGGGTGAAGGCCATTTCAAACCATGAACAGAAAACAATAAGAGTGAAAAAACAAACAAACAAACAAACAACCCAGCTACACTATGACTATGATATATA